CATCTAAAGATACTGGCCAAACAATAACAGAACCACTTGCTTATGCCATTGACAAATCCTTTCAATCTGGAGTATTTCCATCAGCTTTCAAGACAGCAATCATCATACCTATACCTATCTATAAAGCTAATGATAATACGGACGTCACTAACTATCGGCCTATTTCACTTATATCAAGTTTAGCTAAAGTTTTTGAGAAATTACTCCTTAATAAAATGATTAATTCTTTTAATAAATTCAAAATTTTCAATTCAAATCAATATGGTTTTATAGCGGGCAAATCTACAATAGATGGGGTATTAAGTGTATTAGATGAAATTACACTAAATACGGATGGAAAAGTACCATCGATATGCGTATTTGTGGATTTACAAATAGCGTTTGACACAGTTAACCACAATATAACATACTTTTGGAAATCTTAGAAATAATAGATTTTCGTGGAAAGATGTATACTTTAATGGAAAATTATTTATCAAATAGACCGCAATCAGTAAAATTATTAAACTCATATAGTAAAGAAATGTATGTTAAATGTGGTCTACCACAAGGTACAATTGGATCCTCTGTTATTCAATATTTATTTAAACGATATATTCAAAATTAATAGTACTGGTAAAATAGTCAGTTTTGCGGTCGACACTGCTATATTCTATAAAGGTAAGGATTAGAAAGACTTAAAAGATGTTATCCAAAATGACCTTTGCAAAATCATTCAGTGGTTTAATAGCCGAAAATTAACAATTAACTTTACTAAAACTCATTTTTTACCATTTTCGTCACTAACTGATCATCTACCAAAATATAACCACCTTCGATTTAAGGTAAATGATAAAAATCTAAGAATCGATAGAGTTAATGAATCAAAATATTTAGGAATTTATCTAGATCCCCACTTGAGATGGGATGTTCATATTTCTTACATACTAAAGAAAATTAGATTCATAGCATATAAAATAAAATTTCTAACCGGCATATTAACTGAATATTATCTACGAATAATATATCAAGCTTTAGTCGAGCCGCACGACATACCTTAACGATTTAGATGTGCTTCAAAGAACAATTTTGAAATCAATGTTTGGCAAGTCAAAATTATACCCAACTTATGACTTATATAATGATGCACAAGTATATGATACTAAACAGCTTTACTTCTTACATGCCATTATCACAAAATTATTAGTGAACGCGACATAATTAAACATAGTCATAGGACCAGATATAAATTACGCGCAAAAAATGTTCCTGCACCAAACAAATCTTTAATCAAACGATGTCACCTGTATTTAGCTCCAAAATTGTACGAACATTTACCAAATAATTTAAAACAACTACGCAATACTTTAGGTTTCAAAAAAAATTGCAAAAAAAAAAATTGGATAGGATAATCTCAAAAATTACACAATAGATGCTCTATCATTCTTATCAATATTTTATTTTCTCTGTATTCTTTTTTTATATTTTGCATCTCAACATACATATGATCCATGAACAGGCAATGTCTTCCTATGGTTGTATTATATTTATTTACTCGTTTCATGTTCCCTGTATTTTAGAGTAAATAAATATTATTATTATTATTATTATTGTTACTATTATTTTATTTTCTTTTTAACACATCCTGCGTGGTCGCTTACGTGACTACGAAAACGATTTTGAAAAATGGTGAATGTGATGTGTCATTGCCCAATAGTTTTTTTTTTTTTTTTTTTTTTTTTTACTTAAAGGACCGTCGCCAGGCCGCAACCTGGAGCGAGTGGGTCTACGAACCGCCTTTGTGCTGGAACCGCCAAGATGGCATAACTTCACGCACGCAGGCTGTCTTGTCTTCATCGTCTTGTTCTTCAGTTGTCCTCGTAGTAGTCGTCCAATCGCACCCTACATCTCCCATCCCGGACCTGCCGGATTAGGAGTTCGGGGATGTTTGTACTCCATCGTCTGCCTTCTTCAGTTTTAGTAGTTCCTCCACGAAAGATGAGATCATATGCCAGTGATTCTCGCTGGCAAGCATCGTGGGCACCGCCGACTCAGGTGTGAAGGTTAATCCTATTTGTTGTTCCAACCGTCTCCTCAGTACAGCCCATCTCCTACAGTCGAAGAAGGTGTGTTCGGCTGAATCGATGTCCGTCTGGCAATAGCGACAGTAGGGACTATCCTTAATGGTACGCAGGTTCAGGTATCGGTTGAAGTTCCCGTGTCCTGTAAGAAACTGAGTGATGTAGAAGTTTACATCCCCATGCCTCCTACAGTACCAAGGTTCAACCTGCTGAATAAGTGTGTGCGTCCAGGAGCCCTTAGGATCGTTCTCCCATCTTGCCTGCCACTCACGCAGGGTCCGTTGCCTGACTGCAGTGAAAGGTTTTGGTATTTCACTGGTGTCGTACAACCTTTGACGTTCCAGTGCCAAAAGATCAATCGGTATGGCGCCTGCCACTACCAAAATGGCCCCCTCAGCGACAGTGCGATACGCTGACGATATTCGCAGAGCTGCTGTTCTCTGAACTGATGCGAGTCTTCTTCTGTAGTTTTCGATTGTCATTGCGTTAGCCCAGATTTCCGCTCCGTACAGCATCATTGAATTGGCGACGTTCATCAGTACCCGCCTCTTATCTGCTCTAGGACCATCGACGTTTGGCATAATCCTAGATAGCGCGGTCACAACTTTTGTGGCTCTGTTTGCCACTTCTGTGAGATGTTGCTTGAATGTCAGTTTTTGGTCCAACCATATTCCCAAATACTTCACCGTTTCATGAGAGGTGATGGTGACTCCCGAAAAGTTTAGCACCAGGGGCAGGGAATGTAGTCTTTGTCTGGTAAGCACGGTCACTTTGGTCTTGTCTGCAGCCATTTGTAAGCCGTGTTGTTTCATCCAAAAGTGCACCGAGTGCGCTGCAAACTCGGTTTCTAGGCGCGCAGTCTCCATGTCCCTGGCAGTTACCACGGCAACGATATCGTCAGCGAACCCCACTAGTTGGACACATTTCGGTAGCTCGATTCTTAGGATCCCATCGTACATCGCATTCCATAGGTCAGGCCCAAGCGCAGAACCCTGGGCTACACCGGCAGTGACTTTCTGAACCTGCTGACCTTCTAGGGTTTCGTAAGTCAGACTTCTGTTGGAGAGGTAGTCGTTAATCACCCGTAGTAGGTATGCCGGGATCTTGAAGCGCTCTTCAAGGGCATTCATGATATCGACCCACCTTGCTGAGTTGAAGGCGTTTTTCACGTCAAAGGTGATCAGAACACAGATACTGCGACTGCGGTGATTTCCTCGCCAGGCCGTGTACGCTTGTTCCACCACCTCACGCAGTGCTCCTACTGTTGAATGGCGCGGTCGGAATCCATGTTGATGGGCGGATAATCCTCCAGCGTCTTCGATTGCATCACGTAGTCTCTGTCGAATAAGCTTTTCAAACATTTTGCCCGCATCGTCCAGCATACATAGTGGTCTAAACGAAGACGGTGTTATGGGTAGACCCTTTCCCTTGTCTAGCAGTACTAGCCTCTGTACCTTCCATCTTGTTGGAAAGATACCTGCTTGGAGGCAAGTGTTGTACATATTCAGCAGAATAGTTGGGTGTTCCAGCGCTATAGCTTTGATAATCTCTATCGGGATACAGTCGGGTCCCGGGGACTTCCTGACTTTCGCTACGCTAGCGACGGCTCTCAATTCCTCTTCAGTGAAAAGATCAAAGGTTTCGTGGACTTGAAATTCCTTAATGGGTTTGTCCGGGTGTTCAGGGAACAAAGTGGTTACGATTTCCTTCATTCTTTCCAGCTCAAATGGGCCAACAGGTCTCTGCTGTCCAAGACGTCGCATCACTATCTTGTAGCCTAGTCCCCATACGTCCTGGTCTACGTCATTACAGAGACTTTTCCAGCATGCCTTCTTACTAGCACGAATCGCTATTCTCAGTTGCCTTTTGGCTTCCTTGAATTGTTGCTCCATGGCTACATCTCGTTGGTCCCTTCTCTTAGCCCTTTGTACAATGCGTCGTAGCTGCAGAGTTCTTTTACGAAGTTCTGCGATCTCGTTATTCCACCAATAAACCTGTCTCCTGAAACATTTGGCAGATCTTCTAGGCATGGCGGCGTCGCAGCAGTTAATAATTTGCTGCATTGTGTTCTCCACCAAGGCCTCTGCATTCTGCATAGATATTTCTGCATTTTGAGTACCAATAACTTCGATATTGGTAAGATGTCTGCTCAGGATATCCTTGTTCAAACGGGAAATATTCCATCCCCCAATAGTGGTTTGCGTAGGTTTATCTTTCCTTCCACCATCTAGTTGGATCCTAAACCTGACATATTGATGGTCGCTTCCGGAGTAATCTTCCAGAACTGCCCATTCTGTCACCGCGCGCGCTACTGAAGAAGATGCCAGAGAGATATCAATAATTGACCCTCTTTGACCACTTCTCCTGAAAGTGGATGTATTGCCAGTGTTCAGGATAGTTAGGTCGAATCTAGCTGCTAGATCAATGATCGCTGTACCTCTCGAACAGGTCCAATCCATACCCCATGCGGTCGATTTTGCATTGAAGTCGCCAGCTAAGACAACGTTGTTGCCCAAGTTTTGTAAAGTCTCTTCCAATTTGTCTAACTTCGCCCGAAATATATCAACTTTGTCGTTCGGAGACAAATAGATGCTTACGTAGGTTCTCGTTCCAGTCTTTAACCATACGAAACCGTTTTCAGAGCCATAGTCGGATACTGGGAAGTGGGACTTATTGATAACCCAAATTGCAGCAGTTCCGGTTTGGTCTGTGTACCAGTTGGAATGTTTTTCATTTTTGTACTGCTCAGAAATTATGACCATGTCCACCGCGTATTCCTGCGTAGCTTGTTGAAGCACATTTTGAGCCAACTTGGACCTGTTCAAATTACATTGGAGGATACAGGCCATGGGTTTGGTGGCTGTTGTTTAATCCTTCTATCCTCTGGACACCAGGCTTGATATCCTTGCCTGGTTCACCAGTTTCCTAAAACCAGGACACCTAATTTGGTCTGCTCGATGTCCAGCTGTCTTGCAGGTAGTGCAAAACGAGGTGTTCTTGCAGTCTTTCCGCTGGTGTCCTGCCTGGCCACAGTTCCTGCATTCACCTCTTCTGTCTGCTCCAGTACACCTTTCAGCTCTATGGCCAAACTCTAGGCAGTTGAAACAACGCAAGATCGAGACCCGCTCCTTCACCGGCCATATAGACCAGGTGGTCACTATACGTCCCTTTTGAATTAGGTGCTTTGCTGGTATCTTATCCATTACCACCGTCGCCGTCTGGTTTCCAAATTTACCCACTTTTAGTGCGGCTATCCGAAAGCGAGAGCCCTCAATGCCGGTGTCAGTCGTAATGGCTTGCGAGACTTCTGCCGTCGTTACCGAAGGGTCGATGCCAAACACAAAAAGAGTGACGTCCGAGTTCCTTGTGCGTGCATCCACCTCTTTGACCTTCGACGTTATTTCATCTCTTAAGGCATTTGCCTTACCTTCTCCGTCCACCACAAGGACTAGGTCACCATTTTCTTGTTTCCTTATGCTTGTGACATTTACATCAATCTTCTTGATGTCAACGTTTTCTTTAACTGTTCTGACCAATTCCGCAAAAGTTTTCCCTTGCCCTTTAACCACCACTGTTTCCTGACGTGCTCGACTTTTTTGTCGGTCTGGTGGCTTTGTTTTTGTCCTGCCTACTTCAGCTGCTACTTTTCCTTGTACAGCGTACTTCACCTGTATCCCACTTTTCCTGAAAACACACTCCAGCAGTTTTCTAGTGTAGTTTTTATCCAGTTCCTCCGGAGTAGTTACAACTATTTTGTGGCGATTATGCTTTATGGTTTCCTCCCTCAAGTTGCATAAGACTTGGTATAGGTCTCGCATATCGTTTATTCCGTCCGGGTCCACTTTATAAGGCAGTAGGAAGATAAATCTCGATTTATTGTCCTGCCTTCCACGGCTCGTCGATATTTTGGTCGACATTTCCATGAATTCTACTCCACCCTCTAATACTTGACCACCGATTAAGTCCGAAATTTCTGGATATCGTTCCTTGACTAACTTGACCGCTCCTTTTGCTGCCGGGCTAGCAGCATCAATAACCAGAGCCATGTCCCACTCGTCGCCTGCCTTAAGCGGATTAGGCCCCACGCACTCCGTGGTTTTATACACGTATTCAGGCCATTCAGTGTCCAAGAGGGTGGCGAATTCTTCGAAGGAGCTCCCATTTTCTACTTCCTTGTTAATTTTGGTTGCCTGATAGTCGATGTTCACTTGCGTCCCTACGTCCTTGGTGCTACAGCCCGTCTCTCCTGTTGTAGTGGTTTCGACCTGCGTATACGCTTCTGAGGTCTGGCAGTTAAGATGCTCCGTACGTAGTTCCTCAAACTCGCGTAGCTTTAGCAACACCGTATCCGCAATTCGGGTCATCACATTGACTCCCTTTTTGATTCCAGCCTTGGTATTTGTAGGCACGATGTCAGTCAATTCCTTTCCGGAACGTGACAACTTTTGCAACAGACCTCTCATTTCCCCTATCAGCTTTTCTTGTTCCATATTTGCTGCCTTCTGACTCTCCTTCGGAGGGGTTTCCTCCCGCGCTCTCTTCTGCGGCTGACTGACAGTGAAGATGGAGTTATCTCCTGCCCAAGAGTGAAGTCTGCCTCTCGGAGGCGTTCGATGTAAGGAGTCCCTCCTTTCAAAGGGATTGATGTTCCCCTCATCGTCTATTATCATTCCAGACACTATTTCTTCCACTCCCGCCTGGTTGCTCACGGGAGTTATCGCCCTGTCACTGGCTAACGGTCGGGCGGGGCCAGAGCGAGCACCACCGTCACCGACCGGTACTGGGGTTCCGAGTCCCTGCACCGTAACTTCTACCTTCTGCACTTTTCTGTTCATATTTCATATTTTATTTTGTTTCCGTTTCCATTGCCAAGTCGTCATCTATCCCACCATGTCGTCATCGTCGTTCCATAACCATTACCTCGTCCAGTCCATTGCCAAGTCGTCGTCGTCCGGTCCTTGCTGGTATGCTTCAGTTTTTAAGCGCCCGAAGACCCGCTTTTGTCCTTCCCGTTGGCGGTATAACTCTATCGGGGAGCCCTCCCAGCGTCATACCTTCGGCGGACACCTGCCGAACTCAGGGTCAAGTTCGACGAAGGTGGGATATAGGACTTGTTGGTTCTTATCTTTTGTAGACTGTGGGCGTTTCACAAGGGTTTTATTGGAGTGCAGTACCAGCACCTCACACCCCCCCCTGGACCCAGTGACCAACCGTTTGCCCACCATTGCCCAATAGTCCACTACCATGATATCATATAGCACATTCACCAGTTTTTAAACTGAAACTGCCCATATGCATCTTTGGTCGTAACTAAGCATTGGCAGCCTCTCCACCTGCAAAAATTTTCGGTCAGAATGCTTCCTTTTTATTTGAACCACCGTATAAATAACACGTATTCAGTAGCTAACAACAACGTGAGTTAAAAACGGCACCTTGTGCGCGTGTCTAAACAGATTGGGCGCCACCTCCTTAGACTTGGCTTAGCCTTTTTGGATCTTGCCTTTCTACCACTTTTTAGATAGATTTTTGGACCTTACGGCTTACTCGCTAGCCAACTTAAATGAAATTATACACAGTTATATGTGACATACTGTATCATTCCTGTGGTGTTCCTGGGGAGACTCTTCCTCTTCAAGCGTGAGGTAACGGCTGAGACAATAACAATAACCACCATTAAGTTGTGAGACAATGTATTCACTGAACGACTGACTATACTGTATTGGAAAGATGGGAATCTTATATCCAATATATGGGGTTAACTAAACATAAAAATATGTAGCCGCCTTCTGGCGGACGCGACCGCTGACGGCTGCTTGCCTCAACTCGTTCGTAATTCCCCCCTGTTCCACCTTCTTGACCCGCGCGCAACGTCGACCGCGCACTGTTGCCGCTACCACCTATTTTTCCGCAACTCCACCACTCACTTAAATCTAGCTTGTCACAATACATGTCTTTATTTTACTAGTACTAATACATACTAATAAACTTAAATAAATTAATAACAAATTCATACTACATAACTACATCCATTCTTACCAATCGCTGGCATGTCACATACGACTATAATAAAGGTAACGAAAAATTAAAGAAGCAACGCGCTATTTTAAAAAAAATGTCCAGATAAAAAATGCGTGTTAGAAGCTTGAAACTCAGATCACTGACATTTTTTTTAATGTTTGGAGTATAATTTGACCCTTGTAAACATAATTGTGTTTACTGGCATGAATAAACGAATTTTAATTTGAGTTCTTGAATTTATTTTAGGGAATATATCAAATTATTTTTTTAGTCGGAACGCACCGTCGCGTCGCTTGGACTGGCAGGACGAAACAGTAGACGAATTTCGCCCAAAAACCGATTTGCACTTCGCAGCTTACGTTTCATTTTTCATTATTTCCAAATGAAACTCTTGCAGCGTGCTATAAACAAAGGCCACAGGGTGCTAACGATCCACTTTTTCGATTTTATCTACTAGGATCTTTTTAAAATATCAAGAAATTGAGCACAAATAGTAAGCACCATAATTCTTACGCAAAGACAAAATTTTGTAAAAAGCTCCGATAGCACCTTAGGCACTTATGTCCTGCTTATATCCAGAAAAACATCACAAACTGCAGAACACAAAAGGTAACGGCGAATTGGGTACATTTCAGAGGTCATGAAATTCAACTGAAAATGCAGGTATAAAATCTACCAAATTGTCGTTCTCAAAAACAAATTTCCTTAACATATCGATAATCTTAAAGTCCACGTTAAATTCCCCTATACTTGAGTGGGGTGATATCAAAATTCATTCTTCCCTACTGTCGGCAGTTGCAGATACATCTGTTGGCTCTTGGTGTTAAACCTATAGAGCAGGTACCGATTTTTTCTAATCGTGAGCACATTATTTGTCGGATTTTCGTTACTGTGCTGTAATCACTGGGATCAGAAGCTTCTTAACAATAGAACGTGTTTCACTGATATCAAAGATGCAACATTTAGAATCACCTAACCCCCACTTTTGAAGCAGTACAATTTTTTTCTGTCAATGATAAGGAACCCCTGTAACGTCAAAAACGGAGTTTCAGCAATTGTTACTTTTTCTTTTTTACCTATAGCACCGTTGCCACTGGACTAAACCTACAAAGCATTGGCATACTAGTAACCCCGTGTGGAAATTTCATAAAAATCCGAGCGGTTATTTCCAAGTTGATGAGTGATACAGTTTTTCATATGACTTAAAAAAACATCACGATTACAATGCTTCCTCGCCAATGACGTGGGAAGTAAAACGGCTTTTAAATCGAGGAGTATCAGCGATCGGGATTATGGGTACCTATTTGCAGAACGACTTATCTACGCGATATTTTATGAAATAGGGCCACTAAATTATCTGAATACGTCCTTTCTTAGTCCGTACATTAAGCTGCCACGCTTGAGTTGGCAGCACGAAACAGTAGACAAAATTCGTCCAAAATACGATTTGTAGAGGTTTGCGCGCTTCGAAGTTGATGCTTTATTTTTTGATATTTTTGGATAAAATTTTCACAGTGTGCTGAAAACAAAACCCCACAGGGTGCTATAGAGCCACTTTGTCATTTTTTCACTAGATTCTTTTTAAAAAAATCGCGAAGTTGAACAGAAAAAGTGCGCACTTCAGCCCGTCATAAAACTAGTGCAAAAACAAAATTCCAAAAATTGCTCCTATAGCACCCTGGGCAATTATCTTCTCAACATACTGTATGAATTTCATTCGAAAAATATTGAAAAATGGAGTGTCAGTCTTGAAACAGCTGAACCCTTGTAAATTCCTTGAAACTCACTGCGTCGAAGCCGCCTTATAATCTTCTTTGTAACGCTGCAGCTCTAATCTTGTTCACAATTTTTACTACCAATTTCATAACGTTGTTTAGTTTTAAAATGTCCACATAATGATTGCTGATGGATAATGCAGTGGTAATAGAGAAATTGCGGAAAACTTTCATCTTTACGACATAACCCCACGAGACACTTACACAACCCAACATAGCTGGAGCGTCATCGGTTGTTAAGCCTACCATTTTTGATACTGGAATTTTCTCAGAAGAAATGATATTTTTAAAAGAAGAA